TGCAGCTTGTAGTCATTGTGGTTTGGTGGATCAGGGGATTAAGATATTTAACTGTATGGCAAGCTATGGCATTGAACCTGGTGCTGAGCACTATGGTTGTTTGGTTGATCTTTTAGGGAGATCAGGAAGGTTGGGCGAAGCAAAACTAGTTATTGAAAGAATGCCAATGAAACCAACTCGATCAATCTGGGGTGCAATACTGAATGCTTGTCAATCACATGGAGATGAGGAAATAGCGGAGAAAGCTTTGACGGAGCTTCTAAAATTAGAGCCGGATGATGATGGGGGATACATGCTGTTGTCTAACATGTATGCCGCTGAAGGGAAGTGGTGTAATTCTAACGAGATAAGGGAGGCTATGGGAAGTAAAGGAGTGAAGAAGACTGCAGGATGCAGTTCTCTGGTTGTGGATGGAATAACCCACAGTTTTGTGGCTGCTGATAAAAAGCATCCAAGATGGGTTGAGGTCAGGTCCATCACAAACTTTCTGAAGGGTGAAATGGATGTAAAGGCTGATTTTCCATTGTTCTCCATGCATCCTTCATTAAGTTCAGACTGATGCTGCTTGAGGAAAATCTAGCCGGAGACAGTCACTTGTTTATGAAGTCGCTTGGCTGAGAAAACCAAGTTTGGGTCCTTTCAAACATTAGAGAAATGGTCCAACAAAATGGGCACTGCCTGTGTGCTTGATTTTCAGCGGATATTGCTTGGAAGTAGCTCTTAACATTGGGTTCTGCTGTTTACTGCTGCAATGAAGATGGCTAGGAGGGAAGAAGACATAGTAGCCCTCCTCTGTAAAAGTAAGTCACTTGTTTCTCTTCTGTTACTAATATTTGCCATTTCCTCAATCCCACCCCATCCCTTACCAGACAAGAGTTTTTTGCATTTTTTAATAGGCGATTTTTTCATCCTTCCATAATATGTTAGCAGACAGCTTGGAGTCGATAAGTTTGTCATTTTCTTCCTATGCTCTGGTGAAGAAAGGAAGGAAGTACTTGTTTAATTGAACTATCTGGAGTTGTTTGTTCAAAATGTGTTGATTTCGCAATTTCTTGCTGTATACTCTTCCTCAATTAATCTGGTTCAAAACTTCAAATTTAATAATTGAACTTGGTAAAAAGTGGAAAAGTCTGTTTTTATGAGAAGACATTATATAATTGATTAAAATGATAAGCTTTGATTTATGATTATACTGGTTTTCTTTTGTTTTTTCCCCCTAGTTAATAGTTATGAAAAAGATATATATTAAGATGTGGCATCGTTAATGCTTATACAAATGGAATCATGGCAGCTGCATAAAAGACACTTTTTAAATAGAACACATTTTTCCTCAGGATGATGGATATTATCCAGCTAATTTCTGCTGTTTTATGCAGTAGGATAAGAAGCTGACATAGCAATGCCACAGAGCCCTTCTTTGGCACCAACGTCACGCTGCATCTTGATGTATCCTTGATCTCCCCAGCTGGTCCCCCATGAATTCCTCACCAGCCAGTACTTCTTACCATCATCACTTGTCCCGTATCCTACAACAGCCACACCATGATCCAAATCTGTTCCACAGTCTCCAGTGAACACTCCGCTGGAGTAGAACTGGAAGGCAGAGCCACTAGCATCAATGGCCACCGCGATAGGTTGGTTTGCTGCGGCCTTTAGCAATGCCTGCTCGTTATTCACGGGAACATCTTCATATCCACTGATCTTGGCAGCAGGAGAGTTTGTCTTGACTGTGCTGCAAGTTCCATCTGCTGCTGAGTAAGGGTACTTGGATTCGGTTGTCAGTCCCTTGGTCTTGACAAATTTAAAAGCATCATCCATGAGTCCTCCATTGCAGCCTTGGTCATTGGTGGTTCTGTCGCAATCAACCAATTCTTGCTCTGAAAGAGAGATCAGCTTCCCAGTTGAGATCTTTGTGATCCCTTCCACCGCTGCCACAGCAGAGAATGCCCAACAGCTTCCTGCGATGATTTTTTTGGGGACACAATTAATAAAGGTACAACATATATGGCAGGAAGATGGAAAAGGTTTGGACTTGTAGTAAGCTTACCACATTGGCCTTGATCCTTGATGGGATTCACAGCTCCTTTGGTTCTCCAATCCATGGTATCTGGTGCTGAAGTCACATTTTCATATCTGAATGACGAAGGGGCAGGGTTAATGAAATTGGCAGGTTTCTTATATCCAGTTTTAGCAGCCCTGAACTCCTTGTTGGTCAGGTCAGCATACTGATTGACGGCTAGCTTATAAGTCTGATTTCCAAACTTGTTGAAGTGACTGATGAAGGCCACATTCTTTTTGAAGATGCTAAAGCGCCTAGCCTTCTCTCCTGCGTCTTCATAAACTCGCCCGTACTGAGCAATCCATGCTTCAAACCTTTCGTTCATGCTGCTAACAGGATGTACCGAGGGCCTTGCGGAGAATGCTTCGTATGCATAGATCCCCATCAGCAACACCACCATCAACATCAGCTTGTTTCCAGCTACTGAAGCCATTGTTGTTATCTAGTGATTTTAACTATTTCAGAGGTGTTATGGAAAGTGTTTGATGAAATACAACTCGGTTTGTGGTGATTTTATAGTACTCCATTTTAATTTGTGGGTTCCAAATTATGGCATGATTTTGATTGATGGTTAAATGCCTGCTGGCAAATTAAGGGCCAAGGCTGCGGATAAAATGGTGGTCAAGTTTGAGAGCCTTTTCTTTGGCTGGATGTACTATCGGTATTGTGAAAACAATTCAGAATCCAATCCACAACCAGCAAACAATATATTCACACTTCCAGCACAAGGCCCTCAGCATGAATATCTGATTGTCATATTTGCCTACTGAACTAACAGTTTTAGATTTAATGGTGAAAGTCTGAAGAAAAATCAACCAATGGAAACTAATAGTTTTAAGCTTTAAAACTAAAAGAAAAAGGCTTCATGATAATAGCGCTAGTAAATAGACAAAGTAACAGTCTTTCTATTCCACAATTCAGAGTTGTCCAATTTTGCCAACTAATATGAATGCAGCCTGGCTACATGAAGCGAATTAGTGAACTCGACTAGCTATAGAGTAAAGTCTAATCATGGGATAACTGGCCGAAAGAAATTTCTCCTAGCACATTATGCCAACATGCACTTCAACCTTCAAAACAATGATTGTGCGAATAATAAGTTGGTTTCAATAATTAGAGTTATGGACAAAGATTTAATAATTGATTTTATATCACATATCAATAAATTATTGGATGCAAATTGTTGTGTCTTTTTAGTGAAACTACAAAGGATTTATATGGATGTCACAATGACTCAGTCTACAAAACTAGGTTACTACAATCACCTCTCTTGAAATATTCAAACACAGGTAGCTGGAAACACACTGATTTTAGTAATGGTGTTGCTAGTTAGGATTTATTCTTAAGGAGCCTTGTCTGCTAGATCCTCACCGCATCATAATCGCAGCATCAATGAAAGGGTTGAATCATGGATTGATCTCTATAACCGAGTTTACAAAAATGCAAGAGAGAACAGTGGCGAAGTTAGTATTTTGAGATCGGGAAGCCGGAATTTTCTCTATATTACCGCAAAATGAAGCAAATTAATATTATTATATAAACAAATAATTATGTTCATTATCAAACATCACAATATATTTTTTGAAATAATCGATGACCGGATTTTGATGACGGGCGACCGGAAATTGGATAAAAAAAATATCCAGAGTAATTTTTTGTTTGCTTTTTCAAGGTTTAAGACATTGCACTCCGGTCATTGTTGTGAAATCTTCATCGGCTGACTGGGTGACCATCATTGTGGTATCTTCATCGAGGCCTTTAGGAAAGTACTTTGCAATTTATTACGGTGTGAAAACGTGATAGGGGTATGTCTTGATATAATCTTGGAATGTCCTCCACGCATCGTAGAAAGTCTCTCCTTCCTTCTTTTGAAATCGAGTAATCTCGTCTTTAAACTCCTCCGTTTTCCATGGTGGAAAGTACTCCTCAATGAATGCTTGTGCTAGAGCCTCACATGTGGTAAAGGTGCCTGGTGGATGGTAGTAGAGGCAGTGCTTTGCTCCTCCAAGTGGAAACGGGAAATGTCGTAGTCGAATTTCATTATTGGTAGTGTCATCTATTGGTATGGAATCGATGATCTCTAAGAATGTCTTCAAGTGTTGCACCGAATCATCATTATTCGTTCCTCCAAATATCGTTGCTTGTTGCACCATCTGGATGAGTTGAGTTCAGATCTCTATGGTCGTTGTTGATGCAGCAATACTTGAGGTGATGTTGGATGGTCTTGGCTTTTGAGTACTCATAGAGAATAGGTGGGACAACCACTTGTCTTTGTCCTTCTTCTCCAGCCATCGATGGTGTTGAAGAGGTTGAAGATGCTCCTTCTTTCTACTAAATTAGCGCTACACATTTGGTTTTACATTTTAACCACCCTGAAAATTACTTGTCCAATTCCAAATTCTTGTTCTCTCATGTTAGGAGGCTGATCCTTGATGTCCCGTAATATCAACTACAAATCTACAATGATGCTCTTGCTTCCCATGTTTACATGCTTTATAACTCTTTTGTTACCATTTTTTTTTTTGGTATCAACATTGATTCTATTGACACATATTATATGAGTACTCAGCAATGAAATCCCACATCTTTCATAAAAATAAAATAAAAATAAAAAACTTTGGTTCATCGAGTGATTACAGTCCATTTTCCATGTATATGAATTTATTCCTCGTTGCTTAAGAGGCATTCTAACGAGTTGCATTTCATGCAGCATGCTTTCCATGGAGTTTCATTTCGACCTTAAAAGTACTAACATATAAGTGGAGATATCATATATCATGATGTTTCTTTGCTTCCATGGCTGCAGCATGGGCATGGAGATGAATGCATTTCCATAGAAATTCATCACATAAGTTCTAACTAATGCCATGATCTTATTTTAAACTTTGAAGAGAATTCTTATTTTAAACTCAGGATACAATGCAGTTGCATACAAATAGGTTACCACTAGCACAAATGCTTAGACAGTTAAATAGGATCACAAGTAACAATCCACATATATAGCACATATATTTCTTAACAGAGATGGAGATTTCTCAGCTAGCTTGTGGCTACTATTTTTATGCGGTAGGATAGGAAGCTGACATAGCAATGCCGCAGAGGCCTTCTTTTGCACCAATGTCACGCTGCATCTTGATGTATCCTTGATCTCCCCAGCTGGTCCCCCATGAATTCCTCACCAGCCAGTACTTCTTACCATCGTCACTCGTACCATACCCTACCACAGCCACACCATGATCCAAATCTGTTCCACAGTCTCCGGTGAACACTCCGCTGGAGTAGAACTGGAAGGCAGAGCCACTAGCATCAATGGTCACCGCGATAGGTTGGTTTGCTGCGGCCTTTAGCAATGCCTGCTCGTTATTCACGGGAACATCTTCATATCCACTGATCTTGGCAGCAGGAGAGTTTGTCTTGACTGTGCTGCAAGTTCCATCTGCTGCTGAGTAAGGGTACTTGGATTCGGTTGTCAGTCCCTTTGTTTTGACAAATTTAAAAGCATCATCCATGAGGCCTCCATTGCAGCCTTGGTCATTGGTGGTTCTGTCACAATCAACCAATTCTTGCTCCGAAAGAGAGATCAGCTTCCCAGTTGAGATCTTTGTGATTCCTTCCACCGCTGCCACAGCAGAGAATGCCCAACAGCTTCCTGCGATGATTATTTGGGGGACACAATTAATAAAGGTATGACATATATGGCAGGAAGATGGAAAAGGTTTGGACTTTCTTTTAGTAAGCTTACCACATTGGCCTTGATCCTTGATGGGATTCACAGCTCCTTTGGTTCGCCAATCCATGGTGTCTGGCGCTGAAGTCACATTTTCGTATCTGAATGATGATGTGCCAGAGTTGATGAGATTGGCAGGTTTCTTATATCCAGTTTTAGCAGCCCTGAACTCCTTGTTGGTCAAATCAGCATACTGATTGACGGCTAGCTTATAAGTCTGGTTTCCAAACTTGTTGAAGTGATTGATGAAGGCAGCATTCTTTTTGAAGATGCTGAAGCGCCTGGCCTTCTCTCCTGCATCTTCGTAAACTCGTCCATACTGCGCGATCCATGCTTCAAACCTTTCATTGATGCTGCTAACAGGATGCACCGAGGGTCTTGCGGAGAATGCTCCATAGGCATAGATCCCCATCAGCAACACCACCATCAACATCAGCTTGTTTCCAGCTACTGAAGCCATTGCTGTTATTATATCTTGGACAGGTGATTTTGAAATGTGTTTGATGAGGTACAACTTTGGTCTGCTGGTGGATTTATAGCCCATTTCGATGGGTATCTTCCAAGGTTCGGCACCATTTTGATGTTGAATTGCATGCTGTCATGAAGCGACAGGAAAATCGATGAAAAGGGTCGGAATTCTGTTTTTCCTCTGCCTAGTTGTCCCATGTTTTGGCTTTACTTGAGCATTCACCATCTTAATCTGCAGCAGTCAACACTACTCATGTTTTGGCTTTACTTGAGCATTCACCGTCTTAATCTGCAGCAATCAACACTACTCATATTGGGCAAATCGGAGACTCAGAATTGCGGTAGAGATGACGGTTCCTTTGGCTATTTACCATGGGCAGTAATCAGCACTAATGTTGTCTTTTCTTAAGTTCTCTTTATCTTGGCAGCGATCAGCGTTCATACTATAGTTGTAGAATTAATGATTCAATTAATCATCCAAACTAGTACTGGAAGAAGTCCAGAAAAAATTATACAAACTCCAATCATACAATTTTTCCCCGTTACTTCTTTTTTACAAATTAATAATCCAAACTGCGTATCATTTCTGTACAAGGGACCCGACTTTGCTGCAAGACAAGATGCTCGAATGGCAACCTTTCAACCCGACTACGTCTTTTTCAGATACCTGCTAAAAGATTATGTAGATGCCCCACAAAATAAAATAAAAAAATCTACTTCACGGAAGGAACCCACCACCCTATCCATTCAAATGTCCAAGCCTTCATCCTCATAGCTCCAGTTGTGTTTCTGCTCGGTAAGTCAGTCGACAAAATTGCATGAGACGATGATCCCACAGGAAAGACCCAACAATCACAACCACGTCTTAGATGTCTCGAAGCATCAGAGTCGTTCATGTCAGCCCAGGGCTCGAAGTAACTCCACCGTTGCCGCTGTCTCTCAATCCCTGCAGACACAAATGCAACGTCTTCTGCACATTATCTGCTACTATTCTCAACCTTCCCTGACTGAGATCACGTTCCCCTCCTGAAGAACCACCACTCACTTCCACCGTCCTGGCAACCCGCTGCTTACACTTCTCCCATTCGTCACCTTTCAACCAGCAAGCTCGCCCTCCATGGCTTCCTTCCATCCCGAGGAAAGAGACATTCGGATTATCCAAAAATGAGTACCGCAATCTCACTGAGACGCAGTAGGGCAGCCAAGCTGCACCGCCAGCTGCATTGATGTGAGGCACATGAGCTGGGTCGAGGACCACGGTGAGTGCGAAATCGACCGAATTATGCGGCCGATCGTAGTGGATATTGCTCTTGGCTACTGACGAACTATTATCGTCTTGATTTCCTCCGGCATTGTGATTCTCAAGGCATAGCTCGATACGGGGTTTCTGTACAGGAGCCATTTCTCCACCACCTTGAGCCGCCTGTACAAGTCCTTTCTTCCACGCGATTAGCTTCAGGAATTCTCTCAGGACTGATATAGGGAGTGTGAGGAGGGTGATGAATGATGCAACACGGGAAGCATCATATGGCTCAGACGCGACACGACGACTGAAATAGTCACAGATCTCGCTGATCTCGGGTTGAGTGAGTTCTTCCTGGGATGTAGCAGAGTTTGGCTGCTGCTGTTGCTGCTGTTGGTGATGAAAACGCTTAACACTTAGTACCTGAAGAAGAAGTTGAACTCTGTGCACACTGACGGCAAAGACATAGCCCCTGCAGGGAGAACAGCGCAACAGAATAAGAATCTAAGCTGCGAAACTCGGTATAGGAGTTTCTCAAGAAATAAATTAATCATAAGAACACAATTCGCAAAGATACAGATTTAAATGCATGACATGAAACCTTCAACAGGATTGGTAGTGAAGTTATTAGGAGGAATGTAAGATTCGGCACATGGATTTGAGCACCAAATCTACAAATAGACGGTTTTTCAAAAACTGAGGGTGGAAATCATGAGGGTGAGTAGGTCCCACGGATCCAAAAACCCACCCTGGAAAGGGTCCGTGAAGCCCATCTAATAATGTCTCTTTCATGTTGGTGAAAGCATTATCGTCGTATTTTTGTTTTGAAAGTAACTATCAACCTCAAAAACCACATCCAAATAACAAAATTTTGAGATCCAAAAATGTGACAAATCCACACATTTTGCAGAATCCGTCCTTCCACAAATCCTACATCCAAACAAATCCTTGCCAACAAACAGCCGAGCAAGTGCAACTTCAGAGCCAGCATTGGTAGTTAGATAAAAATAATATTGAATATAGATTCTTCTTACCCAACGAAGAAGCGCAAGGCAGGCTGTTCCTGGTCCAAATTCAGGAGAGCACCTTCATTGTCTTTCAAAATCGATCCAAGGATCTCTTTCAACAGATCAGGTAACTGAGCAAATAGCCATAGCACGCCAAGGTACTTAAGAATACCCCTCAAGACCTTCTTAAGAGCGACAAGAGGAACCCACCCACCTCCATACCCTCCATCGTCACCAAGGCCAATGATCGCCGTATTCAACTCTCCTCTAAGATGAGCCGGGACGCCACCACCTGGAGATCTACGTATGGGCAACCCGGTGCTCATAACTGCTAAATTAGAAGACCCTGGCACGCCATTTGCAACACGGTTTAATGCAGCTACTTGGTTTGCAGCCCTGGACACTAGTGCAGAACCAGGAAGGTTAACTCTATTTCCAGTATTAGCATTCAAAAGTTGGGAGCCCGAAACAGGGCTTTGGGTATTAGAGTTTGACATTCCAGGTGTTTGTTGGCCTCCGGCAAATCCTGGATCCAAGCCATTCAACTCCTGAGCAACATGCTCCATTATGAAAGGACGGAACTGTGGACATGGTAAGGATCCTCCAACTGATGGCCCTCCTTTAGGTGGGGTTGCAGGCTGCAACCAGACCTGATCACCAGCAAAGCAGCGCATGTCGACTGAGAAATTCTTGCGGTAGATAATCCGAATCCAGTAGGGCCCACGTAGCACAACAGAGACATCGATTGGCAACAGAGAGCTAGGAACAATGCCAGGGCCTCCACGGCCGGCAGCTAACATTGCAGCACTATGGAGACCGGGACTTCCGAGAGGACCAGCAATAGCAGGCTGGGAAGGGTTTGGTGTGAGCACAGATGGTGGTGTCATAATGTTACTCGAACTGCTGGGCAGGACAGGCTGTTGTTGCACATACCCTGCTGCCTGTTTAGGGAAAGAAGAAGCAGGGGGTGTTACCCCTGGCCCGCATTGAGCCCGTGCAGGACGAGTTGCAGCTGTAAGGGCATGCAAGGGTCCTGCAGTGAGGCGAATGCAATCCAAAAGGGTTGCAACTTCAGCTCCGTTAATAAAACCCTCCAGAAACTGCAAGCAAAAAAGATTGTTTTCAGCTGAAGTTTACAAGGAGCAGTACAAAGTTTGTGAAATATATGTTACAAAGATAATAACAGACTCTGAACAACTCTTCCGATTTGATACAGGTGTGTTTGTGCTAAGAGCTAATTTATGTTACAAAAAATAAGTCAGCTTAAAAGATAAATACAAAACACCTGTTTGAGCTAACTTTTGGAACAAGAATTCATAATAGAACCCACTAATTTCATTTCATTTCCAATTTTACCCTTTCGTAATAATAATCAACTCTTAAAGTTATACACAGCAATTATTTCTCTAAAAGCTTACCAAAGGCCCTTTCTTCAAACTTCTACCTCCACCAAAACCTATCACTTAAATTAAGCAAAAGGCTAAACGAATACACCCAATTGGTCAAGTTTTAAGCATTTGCCAGGAAACAACATACAAATGAAAAGGCAAAACTTAAGAGCATAAAATGAACAAAAAACCAAAATTTCCAGCCACGTAAAATGAGGCATGGTGGGCTTTGAGAATAGGAAGATTGCCATGGATAAGGAACAGCTAACCAACTCAAATCCCCATACAACCAAAATATGCAGTTTTAAATGTGTCGTGCAACAGGCTTGCCCACAACAAACAGGAGTTACCAACGCAACAAAAGCAAACAGCAATGAACCTACCTTAGTGTGTGGCCATAGATTATCAGGAGAAACATGCATCGTACATCCCTCTTTACCCGACTCCCACTCAACAACAAAACGAGCAAGCACACCAGCTCCAAAGTTAAACCACAGACTCATCAGTCCAGCTGCCTCTATTCTGAATGCCCTCCGCATCTGTGCTGATAGCTTTTCAGCTGCTTCAGAACCAACTTTGGGCCCTGTTGGTGCTTTAGAGTCAGAATTCGCGCTGCTTTCTTCAGATTTATCATCTGCCCTTGCTCCAAGAAGCTTCCGCATCCCCAGAGCAAACGTCCTAGCATTAGAAAGCCTACAAATGTCTGCAACTAGTTGCTTTATACTATCACTCTCAACGGTCTGATAGCTGAGGACCACACCTTCAGGGTCATAACGGATGTGTGAATCCACATCTGATGTATTGGCAATACGGACACCAGAGCCCCAAGGTGTGCTAGTGTTTCCCTTTTGCAGTTCCCATAGGTCCCTGAAGTGCTGATCATTTATTTTGACATCCCAGTACATGCTTCCGGGTCTTCCAAGTCGTAAGCATATATGTTGCCATGGATCACCTCTTGCAAATGGAAGTCTGAACCATATATTTGATGATCCACTTCTCAATCCCACTTCTTCCACATAAGGAATATCAAGTGCCTCCATCTGGCTAGTAAGTCTGGCATACTTGATGCAAAGCGAACAATGCCTAATGACATGAAGAAGAGAAGAAATGTAAATGCTAGAGGGAGCATTCCCTTTGTTGGCTTCAGCCAGGAGATTCCCATAGCTGAATCCTTCATTCTTATTCACCAACTCTAGTGATACAAGTGAATTTGATGAAGGCTGCTGAGATTGAGACAATGCTGAGGTTCTCCTCTTCTTGACCAGTCCTCCTGTGTCTTTATCTTGCAGAGAAGGAATCAAACTCAACAAGTCTGAAACCGTACGCTTTCTAGGATGCTTATCTTGTTTTGATACCTCAACCCTATACCCGTCTCCTCTTTCCTGTGCTGTAAAAAGAAAAATCAGAAAATAAACATAAGTGACGAGACTGACAAAAAATACATAGAATCGTCAAAACTATCACCACATAACACAACTAAAAAATTCTGGTGGAAGTATCTTACATACGGGAGTTGTAGCCAAGGAGCCTGATCCATTTACTCTTTCCAAGCTTCTGGGTCCATTAGGTTTCATGCTAGCCAAA